GTGTCACTCCCGGTTATTTGTTTCTCGGAAGAGAAATCAAACGCCCCGGAGAATTCGAAATGTATCCAGCACATCAACAGGAGGTAGCAGCAGCCCTCCTGACGCCTCGAGAGGAACAAGCTAGACATCACCAGCAACAATACCAACAACGTTACGCCGGTCCACGTACTCAGCCACGCTATCAAGTTGGAGACAAAGTTTATGCTACACGGAAAAGTTTGTGAGAGCGCTGCTTTATCAGCTGTAGTAGCGACACGCTCTCTGACTTGAAATGTATAGGCTGCGCCGTTTTGGTAAAACTCCCTTCGCTCTGTGAGAGTAGACTCCTCTCACTTGAGAGAGCTCTGACCTCCCGCAGCAAAAAAATGAAAAATCATGTTATACAAATAAATGCATATTTCAACACTACATTTTTACAATAATAATAGTTCAATAACATAAATTTATGTTAGTTTATTAATTTATTAATATAAATATTTAAAGCTATGCATATATAAAAAAACTAAATGATAAATGTATATTTTAATATTAAATTTTTGACAATAATAATATTTAATGTTATAAATTCATGTTAGTTTATTAATTTATTAATATTAAAATATTTTTAATGGCAAATTAATTTATTTAATATAACAATTTAAGGATAAAAATTATTTAAAAAATATTGTTTGCTTTTTTTTAATTAACATGTAACGTTATTCAACAATAAATTTACAAACAATATTATTAACATCTGTTAAAGATTTTTGAACAATAATTCGTTTATTACTATAACAATTTATTATAAATTAATAATTCAATTTAATTAAGTCAAATATTAAAATTTTTCGATTAAAACAAAAATTATTTAATTTATACATTTATGAATATATTGTTACTTAATTTGCAATTGAATATATTGAGTGATTAATTATAGAAAAATATGGTGGTGAAAAAAAAGAAAGTCTTATAAATCTTATTTATTTGGTGTGGAAATTTAAAATTATATAAATAATGATTTCGTTTATTTTTTATGAAAATAGTTTATTTAGGTTACAATATATGAAATATGATTTTAACTTTTACAATAATTGTTTTTTATTTCAACTGTCTTACAAAAGTTAATAATCATATTAACGAAGCAAAGTATAACATTGAAAAAATCTTATTCGCGCAGTATTTTAATTAAATAAAATTATTACATGCCATATCGCACAGCAATAAAATGTGTTCCTTCTTTCTGCACGGATAGAACTGGAGGAATATGTGGCAAATCATCAGGTTTAAATAATTTACTTTCAGTACCATTCTGTTTCACGATATACGCGTGATAATTGAAATCAAAAGTAATTTCCTGGAAAATAATAACTTCAAAAAACAGTTCATTGTTTACATTTATAATTTTAGTGATTTTACCAAATTCTTTTTCGATTTGACTTAAATCCGTGACTATATACATTCCAACTTTGAATTTATTACCGTTTATTTCTACCTCTTTATAATATTCGTTTTCATTATCATTTTCCGAAGACGTTTCACGCGAACCGAATTGAATATCATTTCCAATCTTTAGGGAGTGAATTATGTGGCACATCTGTAAAACTTGCTTCGTTGCAATGGTGCGAAGCAAATTTTTTGAAGAACTTGTTGATACCGCTGTTGCTTTTAGTTTCCGGTGATAGGATTCAAATCGCATGCACCAAAAGTTTATGCATGGGCCGTTCTCTATTAAAATAGTTGGATAATGCACAAGGTTGTTAAATTTGGACTTCAAATTTCCATACAGTTTTATGTACAAAGTGTTCAAATTTTTCACCAATTCCTTAAGTTGCAAAGCATCTGTTCGTATTATTCGCGGAGAAGTAACTTTATCAATAATTTGACGTAAATATTGGTACAATTTCCAAGATCCGTGTTTTTTATCCAATATCAAGTCTCCAACTATTAAGCGAAAATAACGCACAAGATACACTACCGTCCGAAATTGTGCGAACTCTGCTTTTTCAACAACTATAAAACTGTTCAAATCTTCAAAAATATTAAAACTGAAATTTTTTCCTCTTTATTTTATTAAACCTAATAAAATTCTGAAAGAAATGACACCTTGACAAAGAGAATATGTTAATTTTTCAATTAGATATCTAAGAAAAACCCAATTTTCAATGTTTTTACTATTTTTTTTATTTCTCTGGCAAAAATTAATATTTTTAAACGTTCTTAGGCTCCTTGAAATCGTATTTTGTTATGCAATTCAAATTATATAAAATAATTCATGTACACATTCTTCCCTAGCGTATGCAAACCGTGAAAGTAGGCTCATAAAATGTCAAAAAATTTAAATTTAATTCTACAATAAAATATGTTTAAAAATCAAGTAAATATATCATTCTAAACTTCTCTGATTTATGTAAGTAAATTTAAGATTTATACATTTTACTGATCATTTTTTGTCATATAAATATTAATCACAGTTTTTTGACATTTTATGAGCCAACTTTCACGGTTTGCATACGCTAGGGAAGAATGTGTACATGAATTGTTTTATATAATTTGAATTGCATAACAAAATACGATTTCAATGAGCCTAAGAACGTTTAAAAATATTAATTTTTGCCAGAGAAATAAAAAAAATAGTAAAAACATTGAAAATTGGGTTTTTCTTAGATATCTAATTGAAAAATTACCATATTCTCTTTGTCAAGGTGTCATTTCTTTCAGAATTTTATTAACTTTAATAAAATAAAGAGGAAAAAATTTTAGTTTTAATATTTTTGGAGATTTGAACAGTTTTATAGTTGTTGAAAAAGCAGAGTTCGCACAATTTCGGACGGTAGTGTACAACATTTCAGATGCAGATATTTTCTAGTTTAACTTTTTTTTTATTCTGTTTAGTTGAATCACTGGTGGCTTGTTGGCGCTTTCAGTAAACCCAAAATCAAAGTTTTGAATCCTATTATTTAAGCATTCTAAAGTAAAGTACTTATTTTCAAAGATAAACGTATATATGATAGACCTCATTACATAAACACACACTCCTTCTAAAATGTCGTGCATCAAATCGACGATTAAATTTTGTTTCAGGTGAAAATTTATTACCTTGTGAAATACGCATTTCTCTTTTATTCCGGTTTTTGAGAAATCATTCTTTTTCACATCTTTGGTATAGTTGTCTTTGGTTCTGAGTAGGGACTTGTCTTCCTCAGTCATTACAGCAGCTTTGTTCGCATCGGCTTTGCAAATTCGAGAAAAATAAATTGACTTAAACGATTCTACGAATCCCAATATTCCGTTCAAACCTAAATTATCACCTATAATGAGAGTTAGTTGAAATTTAACGATATACTCTACACCATCAGCAATTATTCGAATTCCTTGATTTCGTAAGAAGTTGAGCTCTTCAATAAGTTTCGCGAAGACTTTTTCATTACTACTTTTTTTTATCGGAAACATATACAAGTGTGCTAAAAAGAATACTTGTAAGTCTTGATGCAATATTTGGCGGTAGACATCCAATCAAAGCGTACAGCACCAAATTTGTTAATCCCAGCATGACTCCCCAACGGATTTCCGACTTCGAGGTCATCATAAAAAATAAATAATGGCAATATTATTGTTTCAGGGGAGATGTCTCCAAACATTTTAGACCATAAGTTGCTTTATATAATGTTTGTAATAATATAAGACTCTGTAGATAACTGCTTCATATAGTTCAAAATTTGACCAAATAATCCAGGAATTTCTAAAAATAATTTAAGTGAATTTCGTAGTGGAACATAAATGCCTTTCATAGCTTTTGGTACCAACAAGATATTATTTCCAACAATTTTTTCGCTAAATTTGAATCCCAAATCAAATTCCAGAGGATCCACATATCCTTTCTTTTTTAAAATATTAAATCGCTTTGGTTCTGTTGAAACAGCATCAAAAATTTTACTGTGTCTCTCGAAACATTTATTTAGTTTACATTTGGAGAAGTCTGAAATATTCTCATCTCTAAGAGCTTCTAATATATCTGTTTTCAAAGATGGCAAGTAAACTGTAGTAATAAAGTCATGTATAAAATCTATCACAATATGAACGATTTTTCTTGGAAGTGCTGGATTGCCATACAATATTAAAATAAATGTAATAATATGATTCAGAATGAATAAATAATCCATGTTTGGTAAATTTTTAAAATTTACAATGCGATAAAATTATAATAAAGACGATAAATGCTTATTATTTAAATGTTTTTGGCAGACCGTAGATAATTTAAAGCTTTTAAATTTAACAGCTGACTGATCAGGAACGACTAAGTAAGCTTTATTTGGACGTAACGAAAACATACATTTTTGAAAAAACGTATCTATACGAAGTCACATATAAATGGCCATGTGCGCAACGAGAATAAACATTTAAAACAATATAATAAATAGGATAAACACTTACCATTTAAATGTTTTTTTACAAATCGCAGGTAATTTATAGCTTTTGTAATTTAACAATCAAATTATTAACGGCTGTGTATGATTTATCTGGACGTAACGAGTACATAAATTTTTGAAAAAACATCCACAAGAAATCACATACAATTGGCCATGTGCGCAACGCCATTAAACATTTCAAGCAAGCATTTATTGCAGCCACGGGATCTTCATAAAAGTATCTCTCATTATTCAGAAATAAGTACGACGCACAAGCGTTTCCTAATTTTCCGCAAACAATAACGTACGGCAGAATAGGCTGATTCAAATCTTGTAACCACTTTTCCAAATCTTCTTTCTTCTGATCGAGTTCTTTTAATTCCTAAAGTAATATAAATAAAATATAATTTTGTTTATTCAAAACATATATTATAAAGGTTGACACATAAATCAAATTTTTAATTTTTCTGATTTTTCAGTTTTAAAACTTTTCCTGGCAAAAAACTTTTTTCCCTGAGGTTTTCAAGACTTTTCTTAGGCTTGTGACAATTCAGAATTTGTACATATCAATAAAAAATGTGTTTACCTCAATGTGAAGAATGAAAGAATTGGCTACATCATCTTTCTTTATTGCCACGTTTTCAGATTCTCCGTTTTTTAAAGATTTTTTGACCGTTATATACAGCGGTAACAAAAATAACGCCAGTAAACTGTTGTGAGTTCCTGATAAAATTAAATGAAATGATAGAAGATTTTGTCAACATGCTTATTTCTATAAAAAAATAAAATTAAAAATTTTAAAATTTTAAAATAAATGTCAATTATACCTTCTTTGATTAATTTTCCGTACTTATCATTGAATTTTTTTACGTCTGGAATTTTAGAATTTTCACAAATTTTTATTATTTTCGAACAATTGTCATCCCACTTGGCAGAAAATAAGTCGTCTCTGGAATCAACAACATCTGGAAATGATGCTTTAAAATCTAATTCAAGCTGAAATTAAGAACATAAGACGTTTAACTTTTTAAAATTTGTTTACTACAAGAGAAATTTAAAAAAAATATTTACCAATGTTACTCCAAGAGGCGCACGTAGACAAGGAAAACTTGCAAAATAACCTGCAACGTTGAAAGTCTTTTGCTTTCCTTCTTTTTGCTTCCTCGTGGAGGAAGCTATGTAGTCCTTTCGTTTATAAACTTTTTAAAAATGGTGAAAACAAATTTTCCTCTATATAGAAACATGTTATATGAGATCCTGATCAATTGTCCGGATGTATGTATGTGTGTGTGTGTATGTGTGTGTGTGTGTGTGTGTGTGTGTATGTGTGTGTGTGTGGATCGTTTTTGTGAACACGATATCTTTAACAGGTTTTAATGGATTTGGATAAAATTTGGTAGGCTTATTTAACACATTAATCTCTCAAAAATGACGAGAGGATTTTTAAAAATACCCCCAAAAAAAAATTTTATCGTCTTTTTTCCAAAAATTTTTTTTTAATTGAAAAAGTTTTTAAATCGAAAAATTTAAGGTAATATATAATATAATCGTCTTCTTTATGTCAAAATGAATCGATTGATATATATAAAGTATAGATTTGATTGAAATTTAAAGAATTAAAGAAAGTTAAAAAATCAAAAATTCTCATTTTAGCTAAAAAATGATGTGTTTATTTAAATTCATGTTTATATATAAAATAATTTTATTCCCTGCATTGAAACGAATTGGTTGGTATATATAAAGTATAGATTTGATTTAAAATTTGAGAATTAATAAAAATTGAAAAATCGAAAATTCATATTTTAGCTAAAAAATTTTGTGTTTTTTTTAAATTCAAGTTGATGAATAAAATAATTGTATTCCTTGCATTAAAACGAATCGATTCGTATATATAAAGTTTATGTTACACTCAAAATTAATTAAAATTTTCTTTATTTTTCAAAAAATTTAATTAATTTAAAACATTTTTAACTCGAAATTTTTTAAATCAATCAATTGAATTGGACAAATTCATTGCTTCCTTCACGAGGAAGCGAATTTTTTGCTTCACACAATGAGGAAGCATAATGTTTATGAAATAAACATAAAGGACCCCCTCCTTGTTTATTAATAATTCCTTGTCGTTTTTTATAAGTTGTTTCCCAAGTTTTTACAACATCTGTGATTAAATAAGAATCACGAGCTGCATCAGTTAAAGGAAGTAAACGTTCATCTCCGACTATAAAAAAAGAAAGTGACATTAGAATAATAATTAAATAATTATATATAGATTCTTCATAATTGATTTATACCTTCAGATTCTGTAACTGAAATGCTTTCATCTGATAAAATTTCGTCCAAAATTCCAGCTGTGCGTAGTTTTTGCCTCACAACTTTATAATGGTTGTACAAAAAGCCTCTAGCACTTACAGCAACTCCGGTTTTTGTTTTGTGATAAGGAGCAAAATACACATCTGGATCTTCAGTCGGAAATAGTTCTATATACAGTTCACGTAATTTTTTGAAGCGTTCCGTGCTTATTCTGTAAAAATGGAGTATTGGGGTAAAAATTAAATACAAAAATCGTAACAAAAAAAAATTATTAAATTTAAATCAATGTCTGCATATACTAAGTAAACAACAAACGTAATTCCCTATTTTATAGTCATAAGCAGTGTTATTCTTCTACATAGGAAAACTTTACTAACAAATAAAAAAAGTATATTAGCAAATAGAATACCATTTTAATCTATAAATAAATTTATCAATCATCAGCCGGATAATTCATACAGCATACATATAAAAAAAGACACAAATAAAATCGACTATCCATAAAATTAGGGAAATAACTCATATTTAAGCAATTCTCAAGTCTATATAATAATCATCAGGAATGAAACATAAGTTAAAAATTAAAAATAGCTTTTTAAAATACTAAAAAAATATTTAAATTCAATTTTGCCCAATTTTAAAATATCCACTTGTACAGTTTTGAGAAAAACTATTTTATTTTATTTTTCTGAAAAATTACTTACAAATCGTAATTTTTAACTAATTTTTGTTAACAATAGCGTATTTTACTTTCTGAAAGATTCTTTATAATTCTGTGTTACATTTTGTTCAAAAATTTTTTTTTCAAAATTAATAAATAAATAAATTTTTATTTTTTTAAACATTTTTAAATAAAATATTTTCAACCAAATTCAACGAACAAAATTGTAGAGAATATTTCAGAGATAAAATAAGCTATTATTTATAAAAATAGGATAAAAGTTACGATTATTATAAAAATTTCCAAAAAAAATGAAAAAAGTAAAGTAATTATTATTTAATAACAAATTTTAACTCGAAATAATTTTTTCTGCAAATTATATAACATATTGAATCTTTCAAAATTGGGCGAAATCAATTAAAAATATATTATTAGTTTTTTTAAATTACTTTTTATTTTTAGGTTATGTTAAAGGGATAAGTACCCTTAAATCGTGATAAACTTACTTGTAATATAAAGGATCTTCTTTAATTTCATGCATAATTATTAAATCTTTTAATTTCGCATGATCTAGTTCTTTGTCGTTTTTATAGACTCTCAAAATTATTTGACCATCTAAAGTAGAGTTAAGCAAATGATACAACTCATTTTCTTTAAAGCGAAAAACTTTGTTTGCTTTTTCTTTCGTGATCGATGGTAATACTGAATTATTAATTTGTAAACCGTTGAATTTTGATTGTAAATTATTTGAAGTTGAAGTAGTTGCTTCTGCTTGCTCACTTGATGGTGATGCCAAAGTATTGTCAATTGTCAAATCCAAAACACGATCTTTCTCAATATTATTTTGAAGATTTTCACTTAATTTAATTCTTTTTATTGGCACACCGTCAAATGAATCGAAATTATCACTTGCATTTACTGCTTGTATGACTACAGTTTTTACTGATTTAGAGATAGAAGAACCTTTTTCAAAATTCAATTTTGCTATGAAATCAATAATGACTTTCTGGGAATGACCTTCTAAATAATTAATTATTTCGTCTTCACTTAATAAATAAAATTCGTTTTCTTTCACACCTTTTGCTACATAAAAAAGCGAAAACATTATGCAAATTAAAATATTAATTGTTTAAAACATAAAATAATAATTTTTAAGTTATAATAACAATAATGGTTTTTAGATAATTAATAAATTACGAAAAGTTCCAAAACCGAAAAATAGTTTCAATTGTGATTGTAGTGTATACATGCATGTTTAAACCAAATTAATATTTCGCTATACCACATGCAATCTTAAATGTAATAGAGAAAAGACAAATATAATTGTTATTATTTAGAGAGGTGTTTATAAACAGATATCTACATGTGATACACAAAGCGTGAAATTCATGTGCTATAGCCAACCATAACCTAGAAATTGTATTTGGTGTATGTATATATACTTACAAGCAAATTCTTCAAGAAAATTTTCAAAGTTATATTTTTTAAATAAATCATCCATTTTTCATTATTAAAATTGAACACTTTTTTTATTAAATACACGAACTTAAGATTAATTTCTTTTTGTCGATTACCATAAAAACACTCGATTACGCGCACAAACACACATACGTTCTTTTTGACTTCTTCCACTGTGGGAAGCGGAAGCTCTCTCAAAGAGAGGTGTACTTTACCAAAAAGAGGAAGCAACCCCTCTCTGTTTTAGCAAAGGAGCTGTCGGTGTTGGTAAGGCAGCGCTCTCACAAACTTTTCCGTGTACAAGTCATAAACTGTCCAACGCAGCTGAAAGCTTCAACGCAAACCTGGCTTTAGCGCGGAGTGGACCCTATACAGTAATCGAGATTGTATCACCAGAAGTTTTCTGGATCCAGAAGTAAGACGGCCCACATAAAGTTTATCAGAGTCAGTTAGTGCGAGCACCTCCAGTCAGGCAGGAAAGGGACCATGAAATTCCGGATGGAATTCATCTTCAAGGTACCCCTCCTCCAGATCAAATTCTGCCACTCGACAATTCCAACGAGTCAGAACCAAACGTCCCGGCCGCCACCCGTCAGCCTCGCACGGATGCACCCGGACCAGCTCCAAGCACTTCAACTAAACAACAGACCAGGAAGCAGAAACTGACAGATATCCCCGGCGGGATATTGTACACAAAGAAGTATGCAGCTGAACAAGCTTTGACTTCCAATCCAAATCCACTCTCGGCAAATCTGGACACCATCTTGAAGGATGAACACACACCACTCTCACACTGTGAAAGTGTGTTAGGTGCCGTTCCAAATGTGGACATTCTAGGAGGAATGTCAGTACCGAAGAAGTATGCAGCTGAACAAGCTTCGACTCTCAATACAAATCCACTCTCGGCAGAGTTGGACACCACTTCGAAGAATAACTCCACACTCACACCAGTGCCGTTGTCGTTCCCCTTAGTGAAATTTTGAAAATAAAGAGGCGTTAAACCGTAGTACCGTCTTGTTTTCTTTGCCTTCCTGGAAGATCGCCTCCTCTAATCTAACTTTGTTAAAACCTTCTCAGGGCAAACCTACGTGGAAATTTCTTTTCTTGCTCTTTCGGGAACCTAATACATACGGGCTTGGTCTCGCAGTGTACCACCACTCGGCAACCTAAGGCTTCACAGACCTTCTGGGCCACTTCGGGAACATCGATCGGAGGCAACCTAAGGCCCATCACCGGGACCTTCGTTGCCAAAGAGAGATTACCCCTGAGTAAGAGAGTATCGGCACTGCATGGCCAAGAACTCCCGCCAACGCCGACTTCATCGCCAGCGCCGTGAGGAAGCCGTGGCTGGACCGCCGCTGGCAAAGGACGCAGCTCGGGGCATCAGGCAGAAACCCCACGACGTCGAAGCTTCCCCTCTACCACGTACTACTGCTCCCTCAGGATCCCGTAAGGAGACACTCCACCCGGTCACTACGCTCCGCTGCCTCCAGGATCCGTGCCACTGCGCAATGTGTGCAGATAACGTCATCGCCTCCGGGCCAAATTTAGCCGGGTTCGACGGAATCTATTCCCGGTAACAAGCACCCAGAATCGGACTACCATCCTCACGTTGGACCTGGATGTCGCTGTGGTTACCTGCGCCACCCGCCAGCCTCTACGGGAAGTAAAATTTCACCGCGTTCATCCCCTAGTTCGACAACACCAGGATTGGATCCAGAAGTGTCG